CACGTCACCCAATCTCGATTCTGTAGCAGCGAGACGCCGTAATCCTTGTTAGTACGTCGTTTGCAATATTTTATAAGCAACATACTGTACCGTACTTTCGCTGCTGTTCATGACAAGCAAATGTCTTCTTCGTCGTCAAAATCAAAAGTGAAATGAGACTTTAAATAGCGGAAACATAACGGCATACTTACTCTGCATATGACCGTCATAAAGGGGAAATCTGGTGAGACCATATTTACGTCTCACCAGTTTTTCAAGATTTTTATGTCAAAGTTTATGCTCTGTCCTATGCCGGTCATACGACACTTGGCTTTTTACGATATGTCAGTTTTGGGCGGCGTCCAGTAGTGGAATTTGCACTCGATCCGCGTGAAAAGAGGTGATGCATCAACCTCATCTTTAGTCGCCACCTTCTACCTTGGACCGAGAGTTAGAATCGTTCGAGTTACTTCGCTAGTACTTGGTTTTACACTAGTGGAGACAAAACAACGAGGTTAACATGATGGAGATGACACCATAATGACAAAGCAAACATGAAAAATGGTAGTTGGTAGACGATCTTCCTGCGTTTGTTTTGACTTATGAGCTGCATATACATCTTTCGGTCCACATCCAGTATCGATTCGTTCGGAGGTCGATATATCCAGAGAAGTCGGACCGCCTCGCAACCTTTTGGTGTACTATCGTACAGATAACGTAGTGTAACAGAGAACAACTCGATGTGGACCTACCAATCTTCAACCATCCGGCATGTCGCCATCAGCGGCACCACCTCCCCCCTACACACACATACATGCATACATACATACACACACACAAAATTCCATAATTACTCCAGAATGTGATCCATTCGGGCAGTTGCTGCCGTTAGTTTGATCTACGCCGTACACGTAAACGTCAAGCTGTGTGCACCGGCTGTATACCCAATCTAACATCATCAATTGTCTTCACACAGTGCTGCACTTGCTGTGAAGGTTCGTCTACTCCTTGTTCGCTTCACCACCGGTTTCACTCACTTTGCAATATTCTGCTCAGCAACACTCAACGTGGAGCTGTGTTCACAACCGCCGCCGAACGAGTGGCCTTGAGTCTGGCCAGGCCCTCACTGCTGGAGACGGCTGTGACGACCGGGATTCTGCATTCGTGCCCATTCGTTCCCATACGTCGCGGCGAGCGCTCAAATGCTTCGAACATGAAAAACTTGTTCTTCTGCAGTCCAAATTCCACCAATAGACGGTGAGAATTTGGGTCTGACCCAATCCACTGCTATCTGCAG